TATATATATATATATATATATAAAAGGTGGGGGGACACAAGTGTAAGCAATTGGAATTAATAGGTCCCCATTTTAAAACCTCTGGATCAAAAAGATACTAGGTCAGAAGTAACAAACCATCTGCCTGTAATCCCAGCGACTCAGGAGGCTGAGCCCGGGGCTGGCAAGTTCCAGGCCAGCCTCACCCACCAGGTGAGACTCTATTGTAAAATTTTAAAGAAGGGCTGGGGATGTAGCTCAGTGATCCTTATGGCTGAGGATCAAACGCAGTGCTTCATATGTGCTAGGGAAGTGCTCTACCACTGAGCCACAACCCTAGCCCATAGCTAAAGCTATATTCAGAGGGAAAATCATAGCTTTCAGATAACCTCATCATTAATGAAAAATTTAAAGAAATTTCCAACTTATTTTACAAACAAAAAAGACCAGTTAACTAGAGGAGTGAAACAGGAATGAACACAATATAGTAGAAAGGATCAATAAACAGAATAGATGTTTGTGAAAAGAAGACAGGTAAGTAGATAGACACTAGGTGAGCCTGGGACTAGCTCTTGATGGGGCCCACCCAGGTCAGGGTAAAGCCATGGGTGCCTCCGTATATTTTGGAAGGAGGTTTCTTTAGTTGTGCGTCTGGATCAAGGTAACTTCTGTCTGGCCACTGATCCCAGTTAACGTAGGATCGACTTGTAGAGGAAGCCTCCCTGAGTGGGATGCTGTCATGACAGCTTCAGAGAGGACCAATTAGGGTCAAAAACTTCACTACTGGACATGAAGGAGGGGTTGAACCAGTTGTAGGAGAGAGCATAATGTGGTCCTTCGTTTTCAGGGCAAATATCAAACAGCAATGAACTTGGAGATGGCACTGTTTCCTTTGTGGTTTTCTGCTGAGAGACATCTCTCTCTCTCTCTCTCTCTCTGTTTTCTGCTTGAGCTTCACTTTCCTTCCACTTACAATAAAGTTTTCTTGCATAACTTCTGGTGTCCGACTAAAGTTTTTCCATCTGACACAAGAGCTGAGATTTGGCGCTTCAGCTGCTCACACTCCTGTGACAAAAGGGAGAAAGTAAGAGCACACAAAATTAAGAAGAAAACAAGATTCAAACATAGAAAAGAGTAAGTAAAATAATTTGATTTTTCATAGAGCAACTCTGTGACAATAAGTTTAAAAACCTACAAGAAATGGTGATTTTTCAAAAATAAGAATCACCTGATGAACCTAGGAATGAACAATGTCACAGACAATGTTCTCTGAGTATCAGTTAGGAATTACATGTGGCAATGAGTAACAACCTCCCTGTAAGTAAAACAGAAAAGTTCCCAATCGATGGATCAAATTCCTGTGAGCGTTTGTTTCCCCCATTAAGGTAAAAGAAGTCCAGGAGTAAATAGTGAGGCCCCCTGAAGTCTGTAGGGACGAGGTTCTGTGTCTCCACTCTCAGCCCTCAGGTCAGGAGGTGTATGCTCTACCTCCAGCCTAGGAGAAGAGGACCAGAGAAGGACAAAGTTGCAGGTCTAGCTGAGGGTGGCCCCTTCTGGGGGACTTTCCAGGAAACCGTTAATTTTATACTTCTTTGCCTAGAACTATGTCATAGACTTTTCATATGCTGTAAACTGGGAAATATTGTTTAGTTACGATCATTGCTTACTCAGCAAAATTGGGGGCCAGAAAGGGGGATTAAAATTTGCTATAAAAAATCTCCCAGTGGGGGACTGGGGATGTGGCTCAAGCGGTAACGCGCTCACCTGGCATGGGTGCGCTGGGTTTGATCCTCAGCACCACATAAAATAAAATAAAGATGTTGTGTCCACCGAAAACTGAAAAATAAATATT